GTTTTACACAGCAGCCCACGGCTATTTGGAGGAGACAGAAACCAAGACACGAAATCTTTGCTGCAGAAGGAACAAGTGAAATAATGAGAAGCAGCAGGACAGAATTAGAGAAGAGAAAGGCAAGGTTAAATATGGGGGAAAAGGTACAGCCCAGGTCTGTAAAACAGCAGAGAGTAAGGACCCTTCCCTCCTTTGCATTACTTCAGCCCCCTCAGCCCATCAATTTCTCTCTCACAAGTGCCTCCTCCACAGTCATGCTGTCAACACACATTTATTAGCCACTCAATGGAGGCATTCCCGTCAATCGTCTCAGCAGTGTTACTCACTGGGAAGACTTAATAAAGAGAAATTCAAGTGGTGTGAGCTGCATTTGCAGATTTACTTCAAGTATGGGCCCTTGATAAGATGGGACATAAAAAAACCCACACACGATGAAGCAGGTTCACAGAATCACAGAAAATGAGGAGTTGGAAGGGACCTCTGGAGATCACCCAGTCCAACCCCTGCCAGAGCAGGATCACCAGACCAGGTCACACAGGAACACAGCCAGGCGGGTTTTGAATGTCTGCAGAGAAGGAGACTGCACAGCCTCTCTGGGCAGCCTGTTATATGCATCGTTATCCCCCAGGAAGTGAATACATGCAAAAACAGAAAAAAATGTCCCCAGAGCACAGCCTTGGGTGGGAGTAGAGAGCTACTGCTGGGGTCTCAGGTGGTGATGCCAGCACATCCCACCCAACCAATCAACCAGAAGCAGGCCTTGATGAGGCATCCATGTGCTGTAAGGAGAAAGCTCTGGGAAGAAAGGTCCTTGCATAAAAATACCAACAAAAAACTGAGGAGAGATTTATGTCTGCTGCAAGAATATGTACTGCACTGTCACAACTATGTTTTTTGGACTCGGCCACCAAGAGGAAGCAAGGATGGTTTACAGGAAAAATGTCAAATTCAATGTAGCCAATTTAAGAAAAACAATTTTAGTTTTCTTTTTTAAATTTTGACAATTTAACTTTCCTGGACAGGCAAGAAGTATTTTCCTTTCTTTACTGGGTACACAACTCATATAGTAGCAGTATACCAATGAACTGTACAAGGGTGAAAAGCCATTTCAAATTTACAAAGTCAATAGGAGTGAAGAGAAAAAAAATTGTACCATTTTCCCTTCCTTGTAAAGTATCTTATGTCTTGTTCTCTACAGTCATATGTCAGCTAACTGCAGATACTTTTAAAAAGTATCAAGAATTGAAGTATCAAGAATTACTATCAAGAATTGAAGTGAAATAATAAAACCATTATTTAAAATTTAAGACAAAGAAGTGTCTTTCAGGAAGATGGCTGGCACATCCATGTCCGAGACTTGTAATGCTGATTTGAGCTTTGGCTAACCTGGCTCAGTCTGAGACAATATTATGGTCTGATTTTCCAGTAGTGGGAACACACAACAGCTTCTCAAGGGAATTTTCACTGGGACTCCTGTGTCTTCTTGGACTACTTTTACAGTGACATCAAGAAGTCCAACAAACTGGGTTCTGTCAAAAAAAGTATTAGCAAGAGTGACTAGTCAAGAAACTGTTTCATCTTTGGGTGTTTGTTTCACCTCATTAACTAATTTCCATCCTTTGCAGGGCACTAACCAGCCAGTAAGGCACCTGTGAGAGACTGAAAGTTAATGTCTCAAACATGGTGGCAGCTCAGGTCCTGCATAACAAAAGCTGCAAGTTCTGCTCTGCAATGAGAAGAAAAGGTGCTGGAAGCAGAGGCTCTGCCTGGCCCAGGACTCCAGGTCTGTGTTGCCAGGCAAGACCACACGTGGCCAGAGGCCATACAGACCCAATGTGGGGAAGGGCTCATGACCACCCCCACGCATGATGGCACCTGCACAGCAGAGCAGAGTACACACGTACTCGAGGGCTGCGCTGTATAAAAGGCACAGACTCAGGGAGCCCCATGTGTGCCCACCACCAGAGGACTGCCCTGTCATCATCGTCATCCTGGCATCATCATGGGATCCAAGGGTGGTGATGTCTTTCCTTATCTCTTTCCTATCACTCTTTTCTCTTCTTTTCCTCCTTCTTACAAAAGATTTCCACTAAGAACCCACCCTGCCAACAGCTTTTACATTTTCCAAGTTCAAATTGTTTACAATAAAACATTTGTTTGTTTGGTGTCAGTTCACCTTAATTTAGCCCAAGGGGATTTAGAGAACTTCAGTCGTTCTCCTCTTGCTTCTGATTTCTTTGGCTCTAAGCTTTTGGCTGTAAAGGCAGAGAGAGCTTGGATGTGCATGAGCAGCAGAAAGCGGCAGCAGCACCTATCTCAGTGATGGAAATAGATCTTGCTAATCTACTTGGGTAACTGAAGCATGATTTGAATCAAGCTAAGTAGGGTTCCTCCAACTTTTCTGAAATACTTACATAAAAACAAAAAAGGCTATGTCCTCGGGAATTGGAAACTGGTGCAGTCAGTAGCACAGCAAAGGATCTACACCAGCTGAATTCATTCCACTCCCCCCTGAACAGACACTTCTGCTATTCCTTTCTGTTGTTACTATTAACAACATCTGTGGAGCACCCACTAGTGAAACCTGGACAACCAAGACCTCATGGTGAAAGCTTCATAAATACACAGACTTCGTGAGATGTTTCAAGCATGACCTAGTATACTAATTTAACATTTAAGGTCTACTCAGAAAATGCCATGCTTTCCTTGTAGTTGTTTAAGGCTGAATACATACCAGAAAACTGCTTTCATATGGGCATTTGAACTGGGGTGATGGTGCAGAGGCTCAGTTTGTACAACCCTAACAGTCATCAAAATATCTTTTCTCTTTGCTCAGCTGTCAATTAGGCATTTCCTGTTGCTACGCATAGTTCTTACAATAAATGGAAAACAGACCAGGTTTAAACAGTAAGCTATTCTTACCTAGATATTTTCTTTTAAAAAAAGTTAATAGCGAATTAAAACAATATTGCTAAATTAAACTTACACTTCACAACTTTTACCTTCACATGAGGTATAACAACAGTACAGGAAATATAAATTGACAAGGTAAGTATTTAGGTAAGTTATTCCTGAATCAATTTTTTCTCGAAGGCTTACCTAGGAGGTGATCTCACATTGGAAAAAACAAAGATGATATAAACCTACCAGCCGTACTAGAGCATTAAAACATAAAAAGAACTATTTTGCTGTGACTTAAAATTAAACCAATTAATTCAAAAACATCACACTTTACGTGCGCTAGAAGCTGGTACAGTTACTTGAAGGACAAAGCCACTTGCCTTGGGGTTTCTGCAGAGGATGCATTTTGGCCAGCGGAGTTTTGGTTTTGGGCTTCCTTCCAGTTTGGTGGATGCATTGCGCCGGGCTGATGTGCTGCAGCTCCCCACACGCTTCCAACACTGGACTGGAGTCAATGTGACATTTGATTGGAAAAGGAGAACAAGGGCAACCTGAGGGAGAGGAGGGGGAAAAGTCAATATTTGTTTTGTTCTATCAATCCTGAAGAAAGCTTGTGCTACTTGTAGGAGTGTATCACTCGCTCACATTCCTGAGGAAAGGGAGGGGGGTAGAAGAGGGGTGAGCCATTCACTCCCACATTATTATAGCCAATATATCCAGCCCAAATAATCACATCAAACTAGCTGACTCATAAGACAGACAGAATTTGGGTAATCCTATCTTTAATTACTTCTTTACAACAGACAGCCAACATAAAGGAGTAAATATAAAAAACAGAAAGCATTTCAAAAGGGTCTTTCCAAGCAGAAACACAAGTGCCCCAGTGTACATCACCACGTTATTAGGTAAAATACACCAAAGTCACAGTGAGTTAGAAATGTGTCCCGCGGGGGAGGAATGGTACAAACGCCATTCCTTCGGGAGATTTAACCACTGATCCTGCATATCACCACTATTTATTATCCCTCTGTACATAAAATATTAACATTCCTTCAAAACGCTTGGGTCCAGAAGAGGCCGTTAAGATATGATCCAGTGGGAAAACAGAGAAACAAATTATTAATATGTTTGTTTGTGTTTTAATTTAACATTCTTGATCCATTTCTCTGGGAACTGTGGAAATAAGCCCATATATCCACTTACACGTACTGGATACTGCGGCTTTTGGGGGTTTTTTTGGGCTTGTGGCAAGCCTAAAGCTACGTGAAATCTTGACACCAGCTTTACTGGGGTGTCATGAGAAGGTAAAAAAATTAGAGTTTAAAAAGGACTGCGGTTTAAGCTTGCTGCATATGAACACATGAATATATATGCTTCCGGCAGTACTGAGAAGTGGAAAATGTATCAGATGTAGAAATTTGAATGCTAATCCATTAAAAAAATGGCAAAGAAAACATGACAGACATTCTTTCCGTATTCCCATTTTAAAGTGGACTAGGTGAAATTACCAGCATCTTGCTGGAGTGAGAGGTGACCTGCGTTAGGTAGAAAGGATTCACTTAAACGTGAAAAATCAGTCTTTGCCTTCCCATGATGTGTTGAAGAATGTGGCGTTAGCTTCACAGACACAACCTCCTCTTGGCCAGATTGAGATTAAGATCCAAAAACTGAAATGACAAGCACCTCCATCCACATCAACTAAATTATTCTGGATTTATACTCATGGTATTAAATCAGGATGTGACCTTTTGAATAAAGACCTTGAAATCCGAACTGTACACACTGCTTGGGAAGATTAGCTGAGAGCTGGCCTCAAAACGCAGAAACTTTCACAGTGATACAAATTTATTAAATAATCATAAAATACCGAAGTCAATTTTGCTGACAAAAATAGATTCCGACAGCACAAATCTATTTACTGATCTCTGCCACCCAAATAGACACCCCCTGAATTCCTCGGCATGGCTGTCAGTTGCTGCTGTTGAAGCTTCATTAGCATTTCTACCACAAAATCTGCTTTTCAGCAGATTTGAGACCAGCTATTAAAAAATCCTTCAAGCTGAAACCAGGAATTTATAAGTACTAGGTTTTATTCAAATATAATTTCACTTATCAGGAAAATGCAGCGAAAGTAGAGTAGATTATTAGAGCAGATTAACAGATCATTGCAAACGCATCATTGTAGAATGGGCTTAAGCAGATGCCTCAGCTCTGGGTGCCAAGGGCTCCCTGTGACAGTGCCAGCGGTGCCACCATGGGCCAGCGCTTTAGGGACAGGACTGAGACTTCTGCCTTATTAACCACAGCTCAGCACAGCAAGAAATGAAGACAGAGCACAAGGGAAAAGCTCTAAGTCAAGCAAACAAAAAAGGAGGGTAGAGAAGAGGGAGCTCAGTGTTCCAGCAGGCCAGTGCCCAGGACTGGCAGGCAGTCCAGCATCATTGTATCTTCCTAAAAATTATCCAGTTATCAGTGGACAAATCTCTGTACCCACAACAGCTCCAGAAAAGACCAGAAGATGCCTCCAACTGCACTATGGCGTTTGATCACACAGGCATGGCACCGGCACCAGCCTCAGTGAGTGCTGAAGGCCCTGGGCAATGCTGGCTGTGACCACAGTCCCTGCTGTGGCTGAAGGAGCAGAGCCACCCCTCCTGTCCTCAGGCATCACACCCCTGGGGTGTCCTCTGCTGGGCACCCTGAGCCGAGCCCAGCCATGCCTGTGCTGAGCTGGGATAAGGCACTGGTGGCCCTCAGCTCTCCCTGCTGCTCTCCAACCACTGCCCCAAAAAGGGACTGTCTATTGGTATCAGTTTGTGAAGTTTCAAAAGGAACTAAAACCCAATTCCTTTCTCTTTCCTACTGAGATACATCTCTGTGAAAGCAGGTCCAACCACTTCTCTTTCTTACTGATAAAAATAAGAGCTAGGGGTTACTTGCTTGCTTTCAAGTGCATAGCACCACCAGACACCACTTTTATGTCCAGGCTAAAAGCTCTTACGTTACTTTAGAGTACTTTGATCCTTTTTTTATAAATCTACATGCAAGCTTTTCTCTTCTACTGCATAATCCTGTCAATCAAGGCACAAGATCCTTCACTGGTAATTACTCCACAAACGTGCCCATCCTGCCTGAAACAAGCTCTGAACTTGGCTCCAAATGCTCTAGGACTTGTGCTCACAGGCACTCGAGAGTAAATACTTAGCAAAGGTTTCCCATTAAAGAAAACCCGATATTTAAAAAGAAAAAGGAAAAAAATCCATCATCTTCTAAAAATACAGTATTTCCCATCATCCTGTATATCGCATATATAGATTACTGCTGAAAATATATTGCTGTTCACTCACTGCCTGCACTTAGCCCATGCATTTATTGACGGTACATCCAAAGAGCAAGTGGCCACAAAGCAGAAAATAAAATCGGTAAGTAGTTGGAAAGAAGAGGAACTTGGAAAGCCACAAGTGCCTTAAACACCAAATGTAGCACTGGCCCTAAATCAAGAAAAATATGCATGGGTGAAACCACAGAAGTGTCTTTCATTCTTTTTTATTTAATTTAAGCCAAGATGGTTCTCTCTATTCAAGTCTGATGTGGCCTCTAAGGGCTGCATTTTGCACACAAGACAAAAAGCCACTTTCCTTACATATTTTTTCAAGTGCTACAAAACGACCTGTGAAAACAAGGATTTACTGGATTATTATTTCACATGGGATTCTCTGAAAATAAAACCCACTGTCTGCCCAGGGTGCTCCAGGGTGCTCCTGGGAATGGAAAATGAGGGAGACCACATAAGAGCCCAGCGTAGCCCAGGCAGCCACCCCCAAGGTGTCTGTGCTTCTGCCAGATGCTTCCAGAGGTGGGAGGAGGTGATGGGCCCCCACTGCCCGCCCTCCTGCACCCACCAAACCTGCAGGACCCAACGCAGAAACCGTCTCCTCTTCGCTCTCCGGTGCAGCGTTGGATTGTGCAAAGCCTCCTCAGATGGGATTAGCTCTGACAACCTGAGCGTGTTCTTCCAAACATGTAAAACTGCTGTAAACCCCAGCTTTGCTATGCCCAGCCCTTGTGTCTCCAACCTATTTAAGCTCAAGTACTTCATGGCTTGTTTGTAATTCTACTCACGTGAACAACGCTGCTTACATTTTCTCTGTTCAAAAGTAATCCAAGCAGACAAGGATGAAGATGATGTTTTCCAGAGATTTTTTTTTACATTACATTAATAGAATAATATGTAAGGCTCCTACTAAGGTAAGACTTCAACAAAACTTCTGAAAATGCCTAAGATAATGTACAATTTATATTTTCACTAAAATGGAAAAACAACTTCAGTCTTTCTGACAGAATTCAGTGCCACCAGGAAACTCTTCCATGGCACAGAGAAATTTCTCAAGCATCTGCCCTTCTCAAGCTGTCTGCACCCAGAAGAAAGCCCCTATTTTTGAAAAATTTCTCTTAGGCGCTGTTGCAAGCTTGAAAGCTATGAGGTATTTTTCTATTAGACTAAGACAAAACATAAGGATTTTGGGTGCTCCAGAGTGTAGCAGTAAAGAGACCAGTGATCCCAAGCATCTGAGCTCCAGTTCTCAGGCTTTTCTCCCTGCCCACAAGCCAGATTCAGACCTTGCGCTTGACACCTGGACCCCAGGTAGCAGCATTCAAAACTAATCCTGGTTTAAAATAAAAAATACCTTGGAGGCCTGCGATGGACAGCAGCAAGAACCAGAAACGTTATGACATGGTACTGGATTGGCACATCCTACATTTGCTGATCCGACAGGAGGACTTCTCACCCAGCCCTCTTTAAGAAGAAGAGATTTTTGCAGTATTCTGCTGAAATTAGGGAAGCTGACCCCTTGTCAGGCCAGCCCACACAAGGCATGAAAAGCATACAAGGAGTAAACAGGATGAGAAATGCTGGACTAACATAAAAAGGCTCTACAGATGAGACACACTGGAAGGCATTGATAAACATCACTTAATTCATTGAGAATTAACACCATTGGGGGATTTCTCCATCCACCCAGAATGATGGACATGGCTTTGAATGTCTGCTCAAGGGAGACTTCCCCAGGGGCAAGTCTCAAGCCCTCTGCCATGCCCAAACCAGGGACCCCCAGGAGAGGGGAGGCTCTGCCCATGGCTCCCGGTTGCCCTGTAGGCAGCACCACCATGAAGCATCCACTGCTCCTCCTTGGGGCAACCTTCTCTGCCAGCTCGAAAGAAGAGAAAATAATCTTAATGACCAGTGGAACAGATTTCCTACTCCTGCCCTCACTGCTGTCACCCACTGCGTTCGAGGAGGGCAATGAAGATGATCAAGGGCTGGAGCACCTCCCCTATGAAGACAGGCTGAGAGAGTTGGGGTTGTTCAGCCTGGAGAAGAGAAGGCTGTGGGGAGACCTTAGAGCAGCCTTCAGTACCTGAAGGGGCTACAGGAAAGCTGGGGAGGGACTGTTTACAAGGACATGCAGTGATGGGATGAGGGAAAATGGTTTTAAACTGAAAGAGGGGAGATTTAGATGAGACATTAGGAAGAAATTCTTCC